GCACCGCTCCAGCACATTCCGCCCAAGCTGAACAAAGCTTCCCAAAGTGCCAACGCACTGCAAGTCACAGCCAAGGCTCTGATCACAGGAAGTGGGACAAAACTTTTATCACAAATTGTGCATTCTTAGAACATATGTACGCAAAAACATCCCAAAACCTCAGAATCAGGCTTAGGGATATAAGCTTAGAAGCTACTTTCCCTTGGCTGTAGAAACCTCATCACTCCAGGGAAATACTCATTGCACAGACTGCATTTATCCAGAAGGATTGTACTGCTAAAGACAAAAAAAAACCCAAAACACACACCCACCACCCCCAAAAACCCCGAACCTTGTCTCCAGAACTCCAGTCTGCAGGCAAAAGGAAAAATACTGTGGTGCTTACATTGAAGATGATATGGGTTGATGACTCTACAACCTCCAGCAGCTCCTGCTCCCATCATGTGAAAGTTGGGAAATCCCAGCTCCAAAGCCAAAAGGGATTGGCCAGCCTTTCATCTCCCATGGTAGCATTATTTCTCCCAAGTGTTTTGAAGCTCTCTAAACACACAGCATTGTCCTGGCCACATTGCATTAAAGAGCAATTTCAAGCAGGCTCTTTTACTAGCCTGAAGATGTTATATGAATGTCACTATGAATAAAACACTTCAGAATAGATTGGTCCCTGGAGGCTTCTGGAACCAACTCATGCACCAGTGTGGAAAAGGTCAGGCACAAGCCCATGCCAAAACATATCAGAGACAGAGCCTGGAGCTTCCTCACAGAAAATTCACAGCAACAGACTTCAGAGCCTTCCTGCAGAGATGAAGAACCATGGCAAAACAGCTGTTGCCCTGCTGTGCCACAGCACAAGTAACAAATCACCACTCAGCACCACCCAAAAGAGCCCTTCAAATGAACCAACATGGCCTGCAGGGCACTGCCAGAGAAAGCCTTGCTGCTAACCACTGCTGAGTCCCTCCTAGAATATCTCAACAGGGCTTAAACAGATGACAGACATGACACAGACACCCTGCACCCTAAGCTCCTTGAAGTCTCCGCCAGCCCCTCTGAAGCCCTGCTAGAAATATAATACTTTTCTACTCTTCAGCTCTAGAAGTACATGATATGAATAACTGAGTGCAGTGGCAGCTCCCAAACAAACAACACAGCATTGCCATCAAGGTTCAGACCTGAGATTTGGGTCACACAGTATCCTAACTGGCCAGAACCAGGGAACCCCTAGTAGGCAGATGATTTGCCTTAGATGCCTTTATGGTAACCTCAGATTCTGCTTGCCAGCAAAGCCCAGGCCATATGCTGCCAATAAGCAAGGAGATTCCCAAGGCACAGAATAGACTCAGAAAGTCTGCAGAGACCCAATGTGAAGTGAAAGAAGTATGGATTCAGCCCTGTTACCCACCTTCCCAAGGTTCTGCACCCCGACTGTGAGGAACAACAGCCAAGAAGTCAATTAAAGCTGACAAACACACGTTTCACGTGTGCCCACTGCACTCGCGTAGCATCCAGACACGTTTGCTACCAACAGTTCTCTGCTGTGACGCTGAGACACCTCACGACGGTTTACAGAACTTGGAAGTGCACAAAAGCAGCTTAACTCACAGCGTGGAGAAATCCGACAATAGCGGGCAGATTCCCAGCTCGAGAGAGACATCCTGTGGCAAAAGCTCGAACTGCAGCCCTTCGGAGTTTGCAGGCTGCTTTTGCTTTAGAATACGGCAGAAAAAGGATTTGCAATCAAGACCTGGTGTGTGATGACAGTAGCAAGACAGTAGCAAGAAAACTGCCGACTCCCTTCTTGTCTTGTAATCTTAAACTCACCATAGAGATCAGGTCCATGAGAGGTGAAGACATTGTATAAAACAATGTTGAGAGGTGCAACTACCAACTTCCCATAGTAATAGCTGTCCACAACTACCAAGGGCACCTGGAAGAAAGCATCTATTATTTAAAGTGCCAGAAGCTTTTGGCTGGACTGCCCAAAAGCTCCACATGATTTTCTTAATGGAACCCACCCCTTCTATTGCAAGGCAAATCCATTCCCTCTTTGCATTGTTACAGGCACTTACCAAAAACAGGATCAATGACACCACACACCAGTTCAGGAAACTTTTCCACCTCTGCTTCAATATCAACAAGTCAAAGGCAATAGGAACCCTGAAAGAGACACCAGGTATCAACTGGAGACTTTGTCTTTCCCCACTCCCTTCAAAGCAAGTGGGGCAGTAGCTGGAAGAGAACCATCACTTCACTGGGCTCTGCTTCTACTCCATATTCCAGTCATCCAACTTAGGTCTTACTCTCAGTATATTAGGGTCAGGAAATCTTCCTAAGTTCTTCAGAAGCAAAGAAATCAGGCTATGGAAGCCTATGGGATCCTGGACTAGGCTGGCAGCTCAGTCCCTGCTAGTTTCCTCCTCCAGCTTTCCAGTCCCTACATTCTCCCCAACCAGGCAAGAAACATTTGACACAGTGCAAAACTCCTGAGCCCTCCTCTCCTTACCCAAGAGCTGCACTGAAGGGCCACCCCAGAAGGGCTCCAGCAGCCACCCCCAGCACTGCTACAGAGGTCTTGTCCATATACCAGCCACTCATGGCAATCACCGTGGTGTACATGCAGAAACTGCTTGGGAGGAAAGCTGCAACACAAGGAAAGAAAGGGGTTAGCACAACTTTCCCACAGCAGGAGAACTGCATGAGGTCAAGATAAGGCTAATCATCTCTCATTCATGCCATTGGAGCTGGGATGCTATGCTAGACATTCTCATTTCAGTGAAAGCAAAAGAGGATACTTTTTTTTTGTTCTGCCAAGACCAGAAATACTTCCTTTAAGTATGAAGGCCTCTTTCCTCGGTGGCACTCAGCAGTGGTAACCAGTTGACAGCATCCATGGTTACCACTTGTAACACTTGCTGCACCCTCTATATTCCGCTAGGTGAAAAAAATGAAACGAACCTGCTCAACTGGCAGCAGAAAATGTGAGCTAACTGGGTAGAGTCTCTGAAACAACTGGGCAGAGACTGGTGGGAAGTAAGTGAAGAATGAGGAGACCTATGACACTGCAAAAACAATGAAGAGAAAGCCCTCTCTCCACTCACCATAAACAAAAAAAGGGTAAAATAGGAAATCTCAACATTCATAAGTTGTGGTATTTCCCTTTAAGTTTCTGTATGCACACAATACAGAAAACCTTTGCTCAAAGTCTCTCTTTGCACTTTACTCAATACCTACAGCAGGTGTTTCGTAAGTCTTACAGTGGTGGGCTAGGCAAATGCGTACAACCAGCCAGAGGGGACCGGACACAAAGGCAAATGACAATGCCAAAACATGACCCTCCTTTCTTGGATTAAAATACGTCCAAGGAAGGTAGGCCAACACCCTGTTTAAAAGGCATGGCCCATTGCAGAGAGACTAGAGGCAGCAATAGAAACAAACATGCCCTGGAGATGGAAAGATACAGGAGTGATGCAGGGCACATCATTTGAATCAACGCTTACTCTGTCATCACACCTGCCATGAGAAATACCTGCAACAGAATACAACAAACAATTGCTATTAAGATATTTTAGTGCTGTGGATTTTCTTCTCTCTGCACCTGTCTTTGGTTTCTATGGACAAAGTAATTGTTAGTGTCATTGCTAAGTAAACTTACCTGCAGATGAGCAAAACATCCCAGTGCTGAGTACTAAGAAGGCCAACATCAGCCGGCTCACATGTAGCCCAAACTTCTTGCACACAGCCCTAAGGAAGCAAGAGAGAATTAGAGACCACAAAAATATCCTCAATACATAAAAGAACAGTACCCAATGCATGCAGAACCACAAACAATCCATGGAGCATCCTGAGAGCTTTAAGGTGGGTGATTCTCATTACTTAGTCGCTGAAGGCAACCTGAAGAGCAGTATGACTGCCTCTGTCCTGGGATTTCAGATCCTCGTAAGTTACACTAGTGCAAAACTCTAGAAGAGACTTGGCTTCCTCCAATGCCAGTTGTGCTCGTGCACATCTCAGGAACTTAGGGAGTCTGCACTGCTGTAGCAACATCAATCTATCTAAGATTTTCACCCCTCACAAAATCTCATCATGCAAAAAGCCACAGCTCACATTCCTAAAACCAGACTATTGCCAACAGAAAAGTCATGCAAGGTAATAGTTTGAAAGCCACAAATGAAGTGGCAGCAGGTAAAAATAAAAATCCAGCTTAGACAAGATAATTGTATTTTTGGGTTACTGCTTTTAGCGGATGTAAACACCATTGGCAGATACATTACAGATAGCAACAATCAATGTATTCCACCAAAATTCACTATGATAAGCAAACACAGCACCAGTCTCTCCTCCAGCAGAGCTCAGTTTACAACACTCCCACCCTGCTTGCTGGTACCAGTGAGAAAACGAGCATAGTCAACAAAATGCTGGAGTGGACATGTGGGTGGCAGATCTGAGTATACAATTTTATTCTAAAACTGTAATTCTGACCAATATTTCATTAAGTTATCACAAGAACACATATTTTCAAGGTTCACTGTGAAGTAGCCCAATTTACCAGACACAGTTACACATGAGCTTCAGAGTGTATTTCCTGTGGCAATAACTGAATATGTTACTTGCAATGCTCCAAAACATTCACTGTAGACACCTTCTAATACTCACTTGTAGAAGTAGAGTTCACAAATGCAGCTCAGGAAGGCCAGGAAGCATCGGATGAAATAGAAGATAAGAACCTAGGAGACATACACAGAGTCAGAACAAGGTTTGCAATGAAGCTTATGCACCTATTACTAACAAGTCGGTCCCAAGAACAAAAGTTCTGAACAGGATGGAGCAAGTTTGGCAGTGAAGAATGGGCTTATTCTTGTAGACCCAGATCCCATATCAAGGGATGCTGAAGATCCCAGCAGCTCAAGGCCTAGCCCTCTAACACTGAAGTCCTTACAACACAGAAAGTAAACAGAGTCCACTGAACTTACCAGAACTACCCCTCTTTTGTTTTCTCTTGTGCAGAAACATGCCAAGTACAGCAATGGATACCCAGGCAGAATGCACATTCAGTGCTTTTTGTTTTACGTTTCTGTGAGTTCAGTTTGCAATATCCCTTGCAAAATACAGGTTTATTTTTTATAGTTTATTGAAAAAAAAAAATCAAAACAGTCACTGATAGCTGGCATAGAAAACAATACAGGCTTCTAAAGCATCAGGGTGGAACTCGCAGGGGTGAATGAGAGCCCATGGCTACCAGGTAACTGTCCTCAGGCCTGCACACACTCAAAAGGCCAAGGAGCTACCAGCCCCTCTGGGACAGCTTTTCAATCAAACTGGAGCATGACAGCATTTCCCTGCAACTTCCTAATCACTTTTCCTTGGATCCCATTAAGTCAGCTCACAAACCCTTGCAAATCCTTACAGGGAGGTTAGTGTTTGTAAACAAATCAGTGCTTTGTAAACACTAATTCTCTTACCTCCGACAACAAACAAAGCAGCTGTTTAAGCTGCTTTAATAAACACAGACTAAAGGCATATTTATTCATCACAAAAGAAGCTTTCACACATCTGATTTACCTTGTTCGTTTGTAGAACTCTAGCATGGAACAAGGCTGGTAAGGCATGAAGCCACAGGTAAGCATAGGAGCGGATGGCATAGGCTGGAGAGTATTCCCATGTCTGAAACCCCCTTCCGTAAACGAGGTAGTGTGTCTACAATGGAGATTAAATAAATAAATAAATATGCATCACACAGAGTAGAGAGTTTTGCATTTCCCATCTCTGAATTCTTAAGTAAGAAAATTTCTCTTTGAAACATTGAGATTAGCACAAGGTTCTAGATAAATCTGCATTTGCAGAGGCCAGCTATAAATTCCCAAGCATCTCCAAGGAGAGAAAGCCACTTACCGGTTCCCAATAGTTAAACGTCTCATCACAATCAGAGATGTTGCTTAAGAGAGCTGCACAGAACCTGGCTGAGATGAGACACTTGAAAGCTGTTGATCCTTCAGGGGCCCAAACTTGTCCTGCTTTGCTCCCAGACGATCTAGTCCAAAGAAAAAATATAAATATGCACCAAGAAGACTCAGTAACAAGATCAAGACTAGCAATGTGACAC